ACGATGCGTGGCACCACATCATGATTCTTTGCCCACTGCAGCCATGCCTGTGCGACTGGCTGTAGAGGGTGGCCTGGATGTGGTATGCTCCAATCCGCGGTAGAGTGCATGCCTGCTCCGTCACACACGCGTAGGCGGCATGCGTGAAGGGTTGGCGCTCTGGCAGCGGCAGGGGAGTGGGCTCGAGGTTTGATGGTGAGACCTTGTGTTCCCCGACTTGGGCTATGGCCATAGCCAAGGACGGGGGGTACTCTGCTGTGAGTGCGCTGGCCCAGACGCCGTTCACTTTAACCCGGTGTGGCTTTGCATGGCCGCATTGGGCCGCCAGCTGCTGGATTTTTGGACAGTTGCTGGTGAAAGACCAGGACTTGGCTATGTCTAGATGATGGTGGCAGGCGGCCACCCAGGCCATATGTGCATGGCATTGCTGAAGCATAGCGAAGTTTTCGGGTTCCAGCCAGGCCATTGACGAAGGGGGCTGTTCCAGAATGGCAATGCCTCCTTTGGCGACGACTGCTTCGAATATGGCACGTCCACGGGCGTGGATCTCTGTGCTGTCTTTAACCCGTTGTTGCAGGTGCGGCGGCAAGTTGGGCACGCCCTGCATAAATTTTGGCGTGCGTAGGGGTCGGGGTCCCCCTGGCTTGAGTTTTAGTCTGCTATACTCTTTGCACGGCGGTGCAATCATAACGAACTTAACCAAGCCGGACCATGCAAGTCGTAGGAGGACTTCGAAAGTGGGGTCGTGCAGGATATCGTGTTGGGCATTGCCGTCTAGGTCGAAAGGTTCAAAACATGCCTTGCTGAGCTTTTGCACGGCGGCTGCCTGCAAAGACATCCAGGAAAAAACCCTGCGGGGCTTGGCTGCATGGCTGGGCAGCGCGCTGGCCCTTTTGTTCTTGACCTGAATTGGGGGTTTGCATGGGTGCGGCTGCACGATGCCAGTCCGGCTCAGCGGCCGCTGACTGGCTCGGACTTTGTCAGGTGTGATTTGGATGGTCCTTGGCAGGGTGGGGCTTTTAACATCCTCGTGGGCGAACTTGCAGTTTTCTGCCTGGCATTTCCCTACCTGATATCGTTTGCACACCTCCTTGCCCTGGTACGATTGTATCCAGTCGCTGCTCAGTGTGAGTTTCTTGGCGGTACCTTTCCCTTTGCCTTTTCGTGCTGCCTTTTTGGGCTGTGTCTGCGCGGGCGGCGCAGGGCGCTTGTCACGCGCTCGGGGAGTGCGAGGCGGGGCTGGTGGTGGTGGAGGCTGACGTGGCACTTTGGGTCGGAGTTGCAGTAGGCTAGGCAAGTCGTTTCGCATAGCTGTGACCTCGTGCAGTGCGTCATCTAGGCTCCAGCTCTGAGCCAGTAGCTCAGATATAACGCCCCAGATTTTGCGGTCAGCGGCCAGCAATTCCTGGGTGTTGACTGTCCGCAGACCCAGGATTGGGTCGGGTGCGGCCAGGCATAGGTCGGCCACTTTCTTGTCGAAGGCTTTCAGGTTCGACAAGTGCGCGGCTTGGCACAGGGCGATGGCGTTGCGAAATATGGTTTGTACCTTGACGAGCCAACTTGCGGAAAGTGCGCGGGATTCAACCGACACTTCTGGAGTATCTTCGAAAAAGGCGTGGCTTAGCAGTTGCATCTCTGAGCGCACGGCTTTGCTCGACTTGGCTACCATAATCTCCTGGCATTGCCGAGCCGACAGGCGGAGTTGCCATGGAACCCAGCGCATGGCTTGGCCGGGCTTGAGTCCATGGTGCACCAGGGGCGTATGCTGGGCGATGTGTCGCTATCCAGCAATTCTGCGGGATAGTTGGCCCCAGTTTACGTACGGCTTCCTCGGTGAGCTTGGGAGGGAGCATCTCTGTCCAAGTGGCTGGGCTAGGCGTGGCGTCCACAGTTGGCGGGGCTGGCAACGTTGTGCTTTTGGGCATGTTCTGACGGCATGCGTTCCAGGCCTGGCGAAGATGCGTGCACAGACGAGAGTGGGTCGTCGGTGTCCAGGGTGTGCCAGTCTGTTTCGGGCAATGCCAGCAGGAAGGGGTTCAAGTTCTCCACTGACGGAAATGCAAAGGCAAAGTCCGCAGTGCAGTCGAAACCCTTGGAGAAAATGTGCTCTTGGAGCACCTCAGGGATGCGGAAGGAGTTCAGTAGTTAAACCACTCCTAAATGAAGAGGAAATGGCTGCGGGACACATTTTGGGCAGTGCAGGCGCACATCCTGAATTACGCGAAACCTGCTCTACCCGCCTGGGTGAAGTGCTACACCTGGGCTGTGAACAGCAAAACCCATGTGCAATGCATGTGGGTGGGGTACCTTTCACTCCTGCGGCTTGGGCGAAAAAGGCTTTGCATGCTTTGCGCTGGCAAAATGTGAGACCGGAGAGCTTGTGTACCAAGCATGCGCCTGGGCGCAGTGCCAGACCGCATGCTGTGGCGTTGCAGGATGCGTCTGCCTCATCTGTGTGATGTATGGCGTGCGTCACGCCCCCAAGGCTCCCAAGGCTGCTTTGCACGGGATGCAAAGAGATGGTAAATCCTCTTTGTCAGGTTCGGTGCCTGACGAGCTTTCCGATTCAGAGTTGGATTGGTCGAGGGCAAACGCCAACACTGCGGTTGCCTCCTTGTCAGAATCGAGCACCCTGGTTGTTCCGGGCTGGGACAGTGCAGCGATCTCTCTGCTGTAAAGAAAAGACGGTATGGCCTTCTCGAGTTCGGCGAGGCAAAGTGCTTCTGGCATGGCATGGCCCGGCAAGACAAACGGCGGTTCGATGGTGGGGCACTGTCCCCCTCGAGCTTGCGGTCGCGGGGGCCTCCAGCCTCCGCGCGCAGCGGTTGAGAGCTGTCTTTGAAGCCACAGTGCTTCAATTGTGTCGTCTCTTGAGTACAGCTGAGCGGAGGACAGCTTGTGGTGGCCCTGCAAGCGGCGGCTGTCCTCCGGCAACCTGAGCTGCGCAGAGGCGCTCAAAAGGCATGTTTTCAAGCTGCGCAGCGTGAAAGCCAATGCCTCTGTCTGTGTAACCTGGGCGGAGCCGGGTGGCAACCAGAAGGTTTGCAGCGCCCATCTCACGAAAGATAGGGCCTGAAAAAAACGACATCGGTGCGGTGAAGGCTGGGCCTGGGTCTGTATCGAGTGGCGAAAGGCATGGCAGCAAGAAGTCTGGTGTGGTGTCCTGCGTGAAGCGGGTTTTCGTGGCTTGCCACGCCTGCTCGAGAAGGCGAAGCCAGGCAACTACCCAGGATGTGGATGTGCTGGTCCCTGCGAAGCCGAAGGGCTGGCAAGACTTTGGCTTGTTGTCTTCGTGGCCCAGCACGTGCCGCGCAGTGCGTGGGCGGACAAAGACAATGAGTGAAAGGAAATGCGTTGCAAATCTTTGAATCTCAAACTGCAATGAGCTGCCAGCAAGATGCCGCCGAGCAGTAGCGAGCGCGCTGGGGCCTTAGTGGCTCAATGCGGGGCGCGGCCCCACAGCTGAAACTATTGGGAAATGGCCTTGAGGCCCTCCAGCAAGCGCGCTGGGCCCAAGGCTGTGCTGAGTGGGGCGCGGCCCAACAGCTGCACAGCGTGCGATCCTGGCGGAAGCGTCCGTCCGGAGGGAATCCGTATGATTTGGCTAGGCCTGCGGGCCAACAAACAGGAAATAGCCTGATAAGCCCACGTGTCCTCGAAACTGGGCTTGGCTAGGCTGCAAGAAGGCAGGCTGCAAAGTGGGGCCAATGGTGCAAAACGAGTTTGACAATGGTGAGCACTGAGGCCTGCACTAAAAACCATGCGGGGCCAATGCGAGGCATAAGGCTAGGCGAAACGGCAAGGCAAGGCGAAGCGGCGAAGCGGACATGGCGTTTCAAAAATGGAAACCGCATGGTTGTTTAGCTTGGAGCAGACATGGCCACAAGCGGTGTAGATTCACATGTCCCTATAACACGGGGGAACAAACAACCCCTAGCGGGTGGGTGGGTGGGCAAAAAGGGGCATAAAAGGATAATTGACGGATGAACAAAACAAGGAAGCAAACCATCCGGCAAGCAAAACGCTTCGCCTCTTTTTCTGCGATGTTGCCAGAGGCGCACACACCTATTTTGCTGTGTAAAAGTTTCGGCCCGAAAAGGAGGTGGCCAAAGTGTCGTTTGTGTCGCAAATGTGTCGCGGTTCCGCGGGGTGAAAAAAGGCACAAAATTGCCAATTTCTGCAACTTCTGAAAAGCCCGTTCTTCTCGCTTAAGAGCGACTCTACAAGCTTACCGCCTGACACCAAGGCATTGTTGAGTCAACATTGAATCATTAGAGCTACGGGGCCTTTAGTTAGACAGGGGCTTTCCCGTCCGCATTTTGCCATCCGGTCCTAGGGTCCCCCCCACACTTTTGGGCACATTCTGAATACGCCCACTAAAACAACCTATTTTCAACATTCAAATTCAATCACCCAACCAATCCAACACCAAAAAACACATATTCATATACCCATCTTCATTTCTTACCCCATCTCAACATCACCCTTACACTCATTCAATAACAACAATCATAACTAACGACCACCTCAACAAATCCCACCAAAAAAATCCAAGCTACATACCAACATTTTTTCATTCCCAAGATCTCAACCCCAAGATCTCAATAATTTCTCCCTTGATCCAACTTGACACCCTTTCCCATTTCCAACAAATACGAACAGTCTAAAAAACAACCCTATGTTCGCCCCGAAAAGTGGTTAACCAATGGAAAAAGGAATATTCTAAGGGCTAACTCAAATCTTGAAAATAATCTGTGTAACATGGGATGGCAAAATGCGGATTGAACAAGGCTTCAGTAGACACACCGCCGAAACTACCATGAAACAGCAAAAATGCCGTTGGAACTGCAACAGACGCTGTTGGAACTGCAAAATCTGCCGTTGGAACTGCAAAATCCGCCGTTGGAATTGCAAACATATTGCAAATCCGGTTTTTCCAACACCGCCTCTCCCCACCCCACCATTTTTCGCCGCATTTCAGTCGCTTGAACGAGTCAAGATCATACCTTCCATGAACTCACATACTGCTCAACGTTGACCTTGCATTTCTCCGAAACACCCCATGCGCCGACAACCTTCTGCCTCGACGCATATCCTTCTGCAATGTCACCTTCAGGAGCGACTACAACCCACTTGATGCTCTTGACTCCATTCAGTTGGAAATAGTTGTTGAACTGCCCGTAAGAAGCATCAATCTTGCAGTCGTGACTTTTTGCCTTCGTGACCTGCAGTAGCCAAAGCGTGATGTTCTTGCCCTCATTGGTAACAAAGAAAAAATCAGCGGCTGGAAATGTCTCAGATTCAGGACAATACAAGCAATTCTCATCAAATTCTGGCAAAGGCTTTGGCGGTGGCTGGTCACCCAACTTCTTGAGCATCTTCTGAAGGGTCGGGATGCAAATTTTGACTGCAGCTGACTCTGTCTTGTCCTTATTCGTCTTCAACGCAGTGCAAACAAGCTCCACCTTCTTGGATTTGCAAACCTCGGCGACGTGCATCTGAAATAGCCGACCGCACAGTGTGCCCAAAGGGGTGATATTCAAACTTGCCCTGATAAGGTCAGGAAGAGCTTTCCGTTGCTTCTCTGCCAGTTGGTCACACAAAATGTTGAGAACAACCTCGGACTCAATCAACTTCACATTGGGCGTCTGAAACTTGGCATCCGAATGGATGTGTAGCACCCGACTCATCTTGCTCCTGTTGTTCTGCGCATCCATGTCTGCACCGCCACTGTCAGCAGCCTGACACAAGTCTTCAAACGTGCACTTGACGACGCAGTCGCGAATCATCTGCTTTGCTTCCTCTTCCAGAGTGGTCTTATTCTCGGCTGCTGCCACCAGCAATTTGCGCAAGTATCGCACACCCCCTCCAATCATGGAATATGCCTTCTTCACGTCTGCTTCTTCCTTGCAAATCTGCAGTAGGCCCCCAGCTTTCCAATGGTTCAGCACCTCCTCTTCTGACCAAACTGGCATGAAATAGCGCTTTGAACGACCTTCAGCCTGCTTCCAAACACTGTCGTAGTTGGGTCAACAGGCTGGGAGTTCTCACCGCCAACTGGGTCTGCCAATAGAACAGTTTTGGAGTGGTCAAGGAGCATGTCTATGTCTCGCTTTTTTTTCAGTGCGCATGGCGATGGTCTGCCCTGAAATGCGACCACCATCTTTTGCCCAGCTGGATGACGATGTTGATGCCCTCTTCAGCCAAACGACTTGCCACATAAGCCAGAAAAACGGATTTCCCAATGCCGGGAGTGCCTGTAATGACGAAAACGCCCATGTCCTCTTGGGAGAAATTGTGAAGCAACCATTTGTGGACAAGGCTACACATGTCCATGTAACACTTTCGCAGAACCAGCCTTTTATTCATGTCCCTCTTTCCCAGAATATTGTGTGCAAACTCCTGCACGGTGTCAGCTTCCCAGTTGCTGGGCTTCGGTGTCTTGGACACAGCCTCATCCAGCCAATGGCAAAGTTCATCTTGATATCCAGGGTCCTGAGCAGTGCAGTGAAGGCAAACCAACAAAACAAGGAACAAGCAACCCCAAACACAAACAAATGACCCACTCAAGCAAACATACCTATGAACCAGAGAGGAACTAAACAACCAAACCTAAAAAAGGGAATGAAACAAACATATTGATTATGTTTAAGCCAAGGGGCGGGCGCTGGTGGTCGGAAGACTTCCCGAATCTTATTCTCCAAACGCAGGGCTACTTTCTGTCGGGTCTTCGACTCAAGCTCTTGTGGAAGCAGACTAAGCAAGGATGAGACTGGCGCATTCTTCAGATCGTTTTCGTCAAAATCAAAAAGATGATTCGCTACATTCTCCTTCACATCCTCTTCAAAATCATGCAGTTGGCGCACAAGCCAGTCATGGGTCAGCTTCCGCTTCTTTGGCGGCGCTGCTTCTGCCATTGCGCGTGATTGAGAGAGACATAAACCTAAACAGACATGAAACTTTCAATGACTGTTGTGCATTACGTCCTGTCGCAAATCACCCAAGCACGCTACCTCAAGCTTGAACCAACCGTTGGTGGAATCACATTCAATCACACACGCAAAGGTCTACAACCAAATCGCATGAAACAAAATCACAAGATCAAACCCGCTCTGTCCAAAAATCAGCCACGGCATGTCGCAAGGGAGACCTTCTGATATACTTACACCTTCGGAATCTCTGACCTCAAAAAGGGGCAACTCATCCCTTCAACGGAGTAATAATTTTGTCCTAGTTGTTCCTCACCACCATTGGTGAGTTTAGTCACCACCATTGGTGACTTTGCTCACCACCACCAGTAAGTTTAGTCACCACCACTGGTAAGTTTAATCACCAGCACTGGTACTTTATTCACCACCGTTGGTGACTTTGGTCACCGCCATTGGTGAGTTTAGTCACCACCATTATGACACGTTGTCTCAGCAAATGTTGCTTATGATATATCGTCACAGCAACAGTGACATGTCGTCATAGAAACAGTGACACGTCATCATAGAAACCGTGTCCCAGAAACATTGACATATCGTCTCAAACCTTGTTGTTGGTGACTGGTTTGTGTTCAAACCTTCAGAATCTCTGACCTCAAGTAGGGGCGCTTCATCCCTTCAACAGAATAATAATCTTGACCAAGTTTCTTTTCAACCCTTGAAACCTTGTATTTGACACTGCTCCAGTTGCTCGTTCTTTCTTTCTCGGAAATCCCTTTTTTGCGGTATATGTTGACCTCATCGCCAACCCTAACAGGGGGATATTTACGGGTTTTGATTCTGTTCATCTCAAGCTTCATCTTGACCTCAAGATGGTTTCCCTTTTTGCGGGCATCGTTTGGAGTCGTATCGTGGGCAGAATGAACCATTTTACTGTTGTACGTCAGCATGATCTCGGGGATATAATCAACCCATTGTATATTAACCTTTCCCTTTTTCTCGTCTGCATCAACCCTCTTGAAAAGCATGTCCTTGAACGTGCGAATGAAACGCTCGGCGAAATGGGGGTGCCCTCGTGCTTTATAGTTTTGGGTCCCTTCGTTCTTGAAAATATCGACAAGATCTTGGGTATTGAGACTCCCCTCGTCATCCGAATAAATTAATTTGGGTTTCCCTCCCATTTTGTTTAATGCCTCCATGATCCCAGCCGTGATGTCGGCAGGTTGCTTGGATGCAACAGGCACCACCACGGCTTTGCGGGAAAATACATCAATAAGCAATAAGCCTATCCTAAATTTTTGATTATCTAAATCGTTTTTTGATATAAAAAGCAGATCCAATTGACTTTCAAAGTTGATATCAGGGGCAATAAACGAATTGTATCCAGACAGTTGTTTTTTCCGTTCCACGTTCTCTTGAAACCACTCCTTGACATCTTGCATTGTTATGGATGCATCTTTCTTCTTTGCATCTTTGTAAGTGGTGGCGATGCTACCAAACCCAGCCTGATCGTAGTAGACCTCACTGATTATCTTGTCTTTTTCACTCATATCTATAATACAATAAAATATATATCAATATGTTATTTTATCACTGAAGCATCTATTACAAGAAGCACAGCGTTATCCTTTGTGTGGGGAAGATCATTACATAACCTTTGACAAGTCAGATTAGAATTTATATTACCAGAATCCATTGACAACACCAAACCACAGCCACAGTTGGCACACTTGCCATTGACGTTGTCCTTCAACCATTCGGCATCTACATAATTTTCTTTTGGAACACCAAAGCCATTTTTACGATCCTGTTCCTTGTGTGCTAACACCTTTCTATCAAAATAATTCATAATGCATTTTGCGTTAAACTCTTCATTTAAACCACTACTGTATTTGTAAAATTTTACTCTGTTTAAATCCCTTGCCCGAGTGATTCCCGTCCAAAGCCACTCGCGAGTTATCAGATGATGGTTCCAATCAAATATCACGACATCGTCATCAATGGAACACCCCTGAACAGAATGACAAGTATAACAGAAGGCAAAGATAAAATGACTTCTCAAGATACCAATATTTAGCGTAATCTCTTCTCGTGTTTTGATATTAGCAATGGTAATCCAAGGATCGGAAATATTAATTATCTCATACCTAAAATTCACCTTTAACTTATAGGTTTTTGTCTTCCTATACTCTCTGCATATCATGATCTCGCCGACTTCAAACTCATTTTGTTTGCCCTGTCGTTTCCTGATCTGCCTTGAAACCTCTCTACAAGTGTTATTTAAATATGCGACATTGCTTTCTGTTCCTGTGATGTCATCGGTATATTTAAAATACTTATTGGTGACATCATGTAGAGACAACTCACGCTCAAAGATGTCGGCATAAATACTTTTGAGTTTATCCTTGTCCTCCTGAGTCTTCAATCGCTTGCACTCTTCCAAAAAAAATGATGAGGAAAAATGCTGTCAATACATTCATTCATATAAATCTCGTGTTTCTTAGTGTTAGTCAGTGCTTTTATGGGGCTCAACTGCTTGGCGTCACCGGTTGCCAACATTATTTTACTGTCCTTGAACTGATCAACACAGCCCTTAATTTTTGCCAATACAAAGGTATTATTAAAACAAATCTCATCAAACACAATGACATCAAACATCGAATGATCGTATTGACTGCTACACCGAAGAGTTTATTTACAGCGACGCTTTCCACTTCGCACTCCAAACCCAGATTATTGGTAGGAACCACGAACAACACTTTATAACCCTTGAGTCTCTCCATGTTCTTGCAGATGGTGGACTTCCCCGCTCCTGCGAATTTGGCCTTGGTCATCAAGCACCTTTATTTCTCAACAAGTTCAACCAATTCATTTTCATCATACTCATTAATGATGTTAACTCTCTTATTTTTGACAATCGGGCTATCAACCTCTTCACACTTCTTCTGTTCATACAACTGCTTTCCTGTGTGATGGATCTCATCGTGAGTCTTGGCTAATTTCCATCCACCGATCCCATCGTGAAAATCTAGCAACTGCTGAGTCTTTCTCAAACCAAACTTATTAAAACCCGAACAGTCCACGACAAAAGCGTCGCATTTGACACTCAATACCTTAACATTGTTCTCTGTCAATTGTTGATATGCGCATTGCATTTTGAAATTATGATACTGCAAAAGCATTTCTTTAATAAAACGAAACCCATTCAACAACTCGCACCTATCAACCACATTCAGAATATAATATAAACTGTCGTTTTGTTCACATACTTCTCTATCACGGCACCACATGCCATTATCATCGTATTCCTCAACCCACTTGGCAGTATTCCTGCTCATCATGTTTAACTTCCCCCCTGCATCTGCCTGAAGGCTCATTGAGATCATTAAAAACGAATGATCTCTGACTGCTGTTCTTACTTTTTCCAACAAGCCAAAAACCGAGTTGGCTATTATTTTCTTTTAATTGCCTTGTCTTCTTCAATATTTTCGCTTATTCGCTTTCCCCAGAGTTCCTCAACCAACATTTTATTATCTACCTTGTGAATGAAGTGGGGCTGTTTGTAGTGAGTAATGGACAACTCGCCAGATGCAACAAGTGGCATAAAATGCTTAAGAAACATACCATAAACTATATTAGTATCATTATTAAAAAACAGATTGTGATGTGTCAGTTCTGCTTTTACCAAATATATATTTACATCCTTGATCTTACATTTACTATTGTAAGCTTTCCAATTATCAAACTGATTAAAAACTCCAATTCTGGTAATCGTATTAAATGCATCTGTAAACGCTTTGTTCATGTCGATCTCCTGTTTTGGAACATCCAATTTATCCAAGCCCTTGAATAACTCGCCTTGTGGGACGATGGTTCTATAATTATTTAAAACGTGTATATCGGTAGGACTGTAATAAGACTTGTGATTTGGATTGAATAATTTCTTTTTGAATGTAAACATCGCTTCAGTCATATTGTTGTAAACCGCTTCTCTGTCTACTGTGATGTCACTATTGGTTTGGTCATCGACCAAACACTGCGACCTAATA